TCAGTGAGAGAAATGCATGCTACATAAGTAGTCAATTTTTACAGAGTGTAGTTTTTGTATGTAGCTAGAAAAAAGTTCTTTCGAAGGCCGGCATCCTGAGGTAACTGATAGTGACTGTAACGGAAGTGATTTTTGCAGAGTAGTGTCGGAATTTCGGTTGACATTTCATAAGTTGACCCACCTACTGTATATTGATAATATATTTAAATATATTATACATAAATATGCATATGACAGTTAGTCTTACGACCCTGTTAAAATGACCTTTTCTATTCGACCACACATTTCGTGAGATAGCACTTAAACTGCACTTTGGCCTCAGGTAGCCGCCTACAAGAATCGCATAGAGGAAACGCAGAAATTGAGCCAGGAAGCAGAGATCCCACAGATTAGTACTTGCTTCCCCGGCAGCGTGTGGGACTGTTTTTAAATCACCCGTTATTCTATCGAGTTAGGGTTCTTGCGACATGTACCAGAGCCTCCACAGTGGCAACAGGAACTATTATAGGCATCGTAAAACTGTTGAGTAATCTTCCAAGTTAAGATTCTGGAAGACAAAATTGGCGGTCAGTCTTTACTGGGACGGGAGACGCATTGGCGGTTGATGGGTTGACAACGGTAAAAATTTTACCACGCCGCTGTTGTGCCAAGGCGAGGTTTGGGCGTGTGCCTCAGCATTTTCTGATTGCGGCCAATCGGTGAATGCCAAAATATCGATCAGCATCAGGGTGCCTTCAAGCCGAGGGCCACGTCGTACGCTGCTCAAGAGGGGATGGGGAGTTGGGTCGTTGTCGGAACGCTGAGTAGGCTGTCATAAAACTGTCAACTACTTGTAACATGCCCCCTTAATAAAAAGAGAGGATTTCTTCTGCATTGCTGTTACGCACCGAGGCAGTTAATTTAGAGAGCGTATGAGGAGTGCAAATAGCAAGTTTATACGAAAATGCAGACGAACCTCCATAGACCACAGAAAGAAGGGTGGACAGTGCTTCCTCATCGTCCTCAAAGGCCTCGAGGATGTTGTCCAGGCCATTCACACCATCACCAGCTGCCTCAAATAGCGCCCTTAGTCTTGTCCTCACAGTGTACTCGTTGTCCTGCAATGATTGAGGAAGCAGTTTTGGGGGAATCGCCCGACGCATCCTCTCCTCTTCCAGCAAACGTTTGAGCGCCTCACCTAAACGTCGGCAGTGGGGAAGGGAGATACAGGTAAATATTTAAATATGTTAAAATCACATGCGGTTGAATGTAAGCCAACAATTGCTGTAAGCACTCTGACAGGCGAAACCCTTCAAGGACG